TACTGCTTATCGTTAGTCTCTACCCAGAGGTGCGAACATGCGAATATTCCTGGAAATTTTCACGCTCGTGGAAGCCATTTTTGTTTGGAATTTATCCGATAGTTTCTCGCTCAGGAATACGAAAAAGCTGTTCGCGTGTTGGTTATTCGATGCACGATGAAGCTTCCGAGACATCATTTTCTTCTCATTTTATATTTACACTTGCTAATTTGCGTTTATGGCTGTATCTCGAAATATTAAATCTCGTTAACAAGGCTTACAGCAGCCTTGCGTATAATTCGACGCTAAATTGAATTTTTCACGCAGCTGCTTAAATTTCGGTTCGTCGATCCTCGAGTAGATATCGAATACCATTGTTAAATAATTAAAAACCATATTAAAATCGGTTTATAATGTCGTAAATAAGCCGGTTTTTATTTTAATTTTGCTACAGCCTTACTTGTCCCTGCGGGCGTTGCAAGTTTCGAATTTCGATGTTAAATGACCGATATTTTTCGAGGCCTGTATTCCTCTTCGCAGACGAACCACTTTCCATTCATGAATTTATCCAGAAATAAATTCTCCATCTCCTCGTTAAAAAATTGAAACTGACACTGATGCGACTTGTAACAGCCACGTGAACAATCCAAGTGACACCTTTGCTTTCATCCACCTACGAATATCTCGATATCAATTGGCGAATATTTCTAAACACGAGTATCCAATTTATTCAAATATTGCACCCTTCTTGAGATCTCTACTTCTCCCTGCAAAAATTGCAATTTGAAATTTGAGACACATCTCGAGTCAAACGTTCTATAGATTAAAAATAGCCCCAGTGTCACCTTTATTTCTATCCAGCTGTATCTATTTCGATTTCAATTTGCGAATATTTCTAGATCCAATTTATGGAAGAAAATTTCAACTTTTCAGTTCAATTTTCGAACACGTCTCTGTTCGATCGTCGAAAGACCAAAAAATGGCACTGAAACCCCTACTCCAAACTTTCCCCATCGCATGATCCTTTCATCACGGAAAATTTCCACCTGACAAGCAACACCACCTCCAGGTCGCACGAAAGAGTGGCAAAGATGGCGACCAGCCACGGTTCCTCCAGTTCGCGCCTTTTGTTTCGCTCGCCTCGGCTCGGGACGGACGTGATATTAAACTGCGAAGCTTCGTGGTGCACGAGAGCAAAGTGACAGAGCGTTCTCCACGGGGGCCGAGGTATCGGTTTCTCGGAATACTTTCGGCGAAGGTTTTTCAGACGGCAGCCACCGCGCGTTATAACGGTAATTCCGCCACGGACTGTAATTGAAAGAGAGCAGCAGCGGCGCTTAATTGCGCTAGGCCGAAATCATGGAGGGAACGACGCGGCCTGGACCCAGCTTCCCGCGCGGCACTTCTTCGAAAGTCATTTGTAAGGGCCTCCTACCCGCCATAACTCGTGGCCCGTTGCGCCAGCTTTTCGCTCCCGAGCCCCAATTACCCCAGAGAGAAGGGGTTGCTGCGAGTATCGCGGAGGACCACCGATTCTCCCGTACTCCACGGAGGCTGTGTTTAGCCGTCAACGAGATTGCGCTTCCAAGCTTCTTCGCAGCTCCCGTTCGCGCTGTTTTTCGTCCACCGAATTTCTAGACCTTCAAATCCCAGCATTTCCGCCGTCTCCCTTTGTTAAACCTTATTCCGAGTTTTAATCGTTCTACCAGCTATCTTTACCGCCATTTATTTAGATCTTCACACCCTTGGGGGTTGACGACTGATCGTAAGACTCGTTAGGTCCTTGAACCAAGTAACTAGGATTTATTTATGCAACGATGCAAATATAGGTATTCTCGACTGATGCGAATTATTTAGTATCACCGATCTACAAAGGATGGTGTCGTTTTGTCTGATTTACGCGTACTTCCCTAGAATTAACGACGACTTTTATCGAGACAAAGGTGTACTTGGAATTTCGTGTTTTAATTATTATTGGAGTAGTCAAGGTGATTTATTTTATTCTCGAGTCGAAGCACCGGATCGAGGGTTAAGTTTGTATATTCGAAATAAATTTCTACTTTCGGGTTCGCGGAGTTAATCGAAGCGGCAAATGAGCGGTTCGTATATTACAGGTTGGTTTTTGTGTTGTTACAAAATCCTGATCGACCGTGAGGATCCGAGGTGTATATATGAGTCACTCGAAGTGATTAATTCGATCTTCCGAATGTTTTAAACTTTATTACCGAAACGCTTAATTACTGCTTAAATAAATTCCCGATCCCGGCCCCGTGGGGCTGGCCGATTTGGCAAATGAGGGATTCGTGTATGTTTAAGCTTATCGAGATTTAATTATGAAACATTTTGTAAGCAGGTAATACCAATACCGATTATATCGAAATTCAATCACCATTAAAACCCCATTACACTCGGGAGCTCGGAATAACGAAATCCTCGACACACCTGTGAACCAACGCGATAAATTCTGTCTATGGGAAACCGAGTGACTCCAAAATTAACCATTCACGATCGTGTCCAAATTTTATCCGTGGAGACCAAACTCCACCTTGAAAAATTTGCGTAAAATAGCGATAAAAACACTCCAGACGACGTAAGGCACGTTCGTAAAGTAGAGTAACAGTCCCCAGAGGGAATTTTTGTAATTAATTAGCAATCGATAAGCAGATCGAATCCTGAGGAGAAAAATGATCGACACACGCGAATTTTCGCAATTATCCAGACGCCTAACGCATTATGTACGCCCACAGGATTTCACCTATTACGAGAAACGAATATTTCGTAAGACAATGCATCAAAAACTTTCTACGCTTTCTATTTCGCAAAATACCACATTTGCTGTGTATTTAAAACCCCGAAATTAAAATCCCACATTTCATTTCAAAATTAACTCTGCACTCGAGAGGTGAACTTCAGTAGCCATTTAATAAATATCGAAATATACGATTTTTCTATTTGCTATTTCAAAAAATATCGTCGACCGTGCGGCAGGAAATCTTCGAATTGCTATTTTCCGTGACCAAAATATCGCTGAGAGGATTAGCACGTTGTCGTACATTTTCTATATGGTATACTGGGAATAAAATTACCATTATTCCTAGGATATAACGAATTATGAAACACTGTGATGAAGAAACAAGAAAAAACGACGCACTTTTCACTTCGCAATATTGTCTATTCATCCACATTTTTCAAAAAGCAGACAAGCTTTGGTCACTGTGACAAATGGTGACCACCATGGCAGTCAACGTGTGAAAAACAAAATAAGGTATACAGTGTGCAAATTTATACCAATACCGTAATCGATTTTACCCAAACACGAAAATGGAGTATACATATGGAACACTCGTTGGGATCTCTACCACCCTCGAGGAAGGGACTGGCGCGCCCTCGCCTGCACGCCGTGTGTCCCGGCCACACTTGCCGAACACACAACGCGTGCACGAGAGCGTGTAATAACCGCGCAGGAAGATACAAATAAGACCGACCCATTGCACCGATGCGGCGTGTTGCACATTTTTCGACGGGCACCGCGGCGCGGACAATAGCGCGACGCGCGGCCCTCCGAGAGCGGTAATACCGGGAGAAAGAGGGACAAAGATGCCGTGGCGGATGATAAGTGTGGGTGACGAGGCAACATCGGCGGAAAAAAGGCCGCGGGTACACCGTAACCATGTATCCGCTTGATGAGAACAAGCAGAAGGATGCGGCGCGCCGTCCTAACCTCGACACGCGGCTCACAGGCGGATTCTCAGGGCGTCGCGACGTCACGAAATCGAGTGCGACCGGTTCGAGGTTCGCAGGTTTTACAGATGGCTGCTACGGCTGCCCGATCTCGGCTCCCTGTAATTTATCGTGGAAATCGCGCAGCGGAAGAGACGGTCGCGCTGACAATGGGACAGTTTGGAAAGCGCTCTTGGGAAGTTCTGCGCCGTTTTCTGGTTATTAATGGGCAACGTGTGCGTAATGGCCAAGTGGCAGCAGTGGTTAGATTCGATTATCTCCGTCCAGTGTTTCGTCGTGTTGTCGATACGCGACGAAAATGTAAGACGAAGAGAAAACTGAGAAGAAGAAATTCAAAGGAAATAGGAGATGGCGCAGCGATGGAATGTTGTCGTGCAACAAAAGTGGACCGAAATTAAACACAGAAGGAGTTCAGAACAGAGGATGCGAGATTCCGAACCCGAGAGATTGCACAAGATTCTACGCCGCGACGCGAGATACGAAAAGCACAGAGAGAAGCGCGAAAAAGAAGGAAATAACTACTGGAGGATGGAAATGGAAAATAGAGAGGGTGACAGAGAGGCAACGACGAGTGCGTACGTATGGTACGTCGAGTCGACCGACTGTCTTTACGCGTTCATCGAATTAGCGTCTAAGATAAGTTAATAAACCTCGTCCCAATGATTCATCGCCGAGCCGGCCGCTACTTATCTAATCGTTCCACTTTGCGACAGTTTGCGCTTCGTTCACCCTGATGCATGTAATTAATATGTAATCGCGTGTCTTTTTTTTCCTATCTGGCACCGATACAGCTCGCTTGGCGGCTAGTCGCCGGTAATCACCGCTTATCTAGCCGCGCGACCTTATCGTTCGGCATCGGCGAGTAATCGCCCCGTCTCTCGCGCCTTGATTATCGGCTATCGAGTCGCACGTTTTCCTTAATGTTCGGTAATTCGCCGGCAGATCGCATCGGCCGTGACCGCGACGGGTATACGCCCTATCGGACACGCGGTTTGCCAATAATTCCACGTTCCCAGGCTGCCCTAAATACCTCGTCCACCGGTTTCGCCACGCGGGTAATCCCCGCAGCCATTTTCTCCGAGACGTTTCGGGTCCATCTCCGCTTCCGCAGGAAGGGATCGGCGGTTCTGGAGTTGCCAGGAGGTTGGCGAGAGAAGCGAGAAGCGGTCCGTCGGCTGCGTTAAACGCGATTAAAGCGCGACAGGGTACATGCCCGTATGAGTCCGAATACGGAAGAGGACCCGTTGTCGCGAATAGGGCAGATAAAGCGTACACGTTACCTGTATGAGGTGGGCAAGGAACAGGACGTAGGCGGCGGCCGCCCTCATGTCTTTCCTCGAGGAATCCCTCGACTACCGCATCACCATTCCCCGTGGGTCACCTGCGCTCTTCTCCAGCCACTCCTAACGATTTATCGTATGGATCGCTTGTTCCTCGTGTGCTCCACGATATATCCCGTGTCGACGTTATTCCACGAATCCGATCAGGCTCAGGAAACACTCTTCACACCGTACATACGACCTGTTATAGATCCCTCGTTCCTCGATCGGGCACACTTCACTTCTTCGATATTTATTACTGCTACTTCCGGTCCGCGGGCACACACCGAATACGAGCCACTGCTGTCGATACGACGAATCTCACGGTTCTCCACTTCGTACCAACTTCAACCTTTCCGTATTACGACCACGTAATCTCTGCGCAGACACTTTTTTCCTTTTTATTTCGAAAACACTCTTTAACACTGTTTACCCGCTTTCCGTTTTCCTTACGCCTGGTTCAGGTTAGCGGCTCAATTTCGGGAATGCGAAAGCTCGCGAGGATCGCACGGATACGGACCATCGGGATCCGGTGGACGAAAAGAGTTCCGTTCCGTTTCCTCGCCGATCGTCTCGGATATCGCGCGCACTCCGGGATACGAGAGGATCGCTCGAAGCGAGAGATCGACTCGACTTTCCAACGAGAGGACGAGTCGATCCAGGATGCGGGACGAGGCTTCGAGATGTTTACGTGCACTCTCGCGACGCGACAGGTACCTTTCCCTCGTACGGTTGCCTTTGATCGCGCGATATCGGTAGGTCGTTACGATCCTCTTCGTTTTTCCCCTTTCACCTCCGCGCCTGCTGCGCCTTCGGACTGCTCGTACGTTTCACCTCGTACGATCGACGGTAATTAATCGAGCGGAGTCGCGTCGTTGTTCGCGTGACGTACGCTCCGATAAGGCCGTGTGTGCCGCGTCTTCCTGGATCCTTCGCGATCCCGTCGACCCACTTCCACCGTAGGATCTTCCACGTATTCTCCGAACTGTTCCTCTAATTCTTTAGCGAATTATTCTCGAAAGGACGCACGAGAACGACGCGTGATCGTCCAGACGATCCGCTCAGTCCCGTTCCCACCTGTTCGCCAACCTTCTCCGAACAACCGTGTTCGTTCACCGAGCACGTGCTCACGGATACGCGTCGAAATTCACGCGAAACGCCAGGAGTATGCCAAGTTGTACGACACTCTGTCCGAATTCCGCAGACACCTCGCCGCGGTTCCACGTCTCTTCGTCCTCGCGACTCACCGGAACTTTCGAGACTTCGATCGACGGAGAAATCCAAAGGGAATCCGGATGGAGGAAGTGACCACGATCCAAAGTCCGATGGACACTAACCACCGCGATCTTCGCGGTCGTTTCTCCACAGGTGATCCATCGACGAGTCGCCGGTCGAAATCGGCTGGATCCCGTGAACGCGCACGGCGAGACGACGTGTGCTCTGTCCTCGCGTCGCAGCTTCCACCAAGGGGGGTTGATCTCACCCCTCGCTCGCGGCGTGTGCTCTTGGAACGCCGAATGGTCGCGATAAACACGCGCCTGGTCCAACTGTCGCGGTTGTCTCTCGTCGCCGGAGATATCGGCGTGTGTCTCTCTCCGAAGGAACAGGTGTGTGGACGACGGCACACGCGCGCGTGCCTCGTGTACGTACGCGCACCTTTCCACGAGTCTGGTCGCGTGTGCGTGGCCAGGCGTGCGTGTACGTGCACGTAAAACCGTATCCGTGTGGCGGGTTCGCGGCGCGTGTACGTTGGTGTATGCGTGTTATGGCTGTGTCGTGCACGCTGGAGCACGGAAACGCAGCACCTCCGCGGGGTACACGAGACGGTCGCTCCGGGGATACTGAGTCGGAGCCGCAGGCCGGCCTGCGGGCCTCCCCCCTCCCCCTCGCTTGGCCGCACTCTAGCGCGCTCTCTCTCCCTACCCTGCGTCTCCGTTGCACCCGGGCCACCTGTCTCCGTCCGTCTCGCTCGCGCTCGCGCAACCCGGGCCCCTACCCCCAACAGCCTCCCTTCCCCCACTCGTCCCACCTCCCGCGGGAGCATCGCTGACTCCCACCACCGCAGGGGCCGCTCTTCGCCCCGGCCCCATGGATCCGTGTCGTCGTCTCTCTCGCTTTGCTCCGCAAGCTCGTCGTTCTCTCCTCGTCGCACTCGGTCCGCGGCCTCTCTCCCGTGTCCGGCGCGCGGCTCTCGCTCGCGGCCTGCTCGTCCCGCGTACTTACACCGCCGTGGATACGCCGCGCTCGTGGTGCACGCACGGACGCCGATCTAGCGCCCTCCCGCCTACCCTCGCGGTGTGTCTCGGTGCAACGTTCGTGTATGATCGTGTGTAAGGGGAATTGGCCGCGACCACCGTGGCGTGTGTTGGTACGCGCGGAGAGACCGCGAGGTTCCGTCTCTCTTCGGCCAAGCGATGCCTTTCTAGAAGGCATTACACGATCGTACACTTGTGCCCCGGTCGGTGGATGCTGGCTCTGCCGGGATATCGCGGGATAGACGCAACGCCGCGAGTATATCTCGTCGCGCGACGCGGTTACGTTCGAGATCGGACGTCGTCGCCGGGACGTGTGCAATTTTCGGCTTGGCTCGAGGTGGTCCGTGTCGAGGCATTTCGGGGGACGTTAAACGTACCGGCTACGCGAAAGTATATAATGATACAGGATAGGGCGAGGGGTGGCTGAGGGGCAGGAGGGCCTGACCGACGAAATTACGTATATTCCGGAAGAACGATTTTGGACGATGAATAATGGATAGGCGGCTGTCGCGTGTCCACCGTAGTTAGGTTGCGGATCGCGGGACACGGTGCCGTGGGCACCCACGGCGAGAAATGCCATCGGCGCGGATCGTCATTGAATTTCTGCCCCCGTATACGATGTTCCACGTAATTCCCGTGTCGAGTTATCGCGCGGGCCGAAGGGACGGTCGGTTAAATGGCAATAAATTATCACCGGCAACCGGGCCTCACCCGGCCACTGAGCTCCTTTCTAGTCGCGTCTCGTAGCTCGCGGTGGCTCCTTTCGCGTTATTCCGCGAAACGGAACTGCTCCAGAGAAACCCGGTCGGCCGAGGGTTCCTTCGACGTTCGCCTATTCGTGCACCCGTACGTCCACCCTGCCAACGATCCACGCGGACCGACGCGGACGTTAAAATTAATTTTCCTCTCTCGCAGATATGCTCGATCGCGTTAGCCTAATCGCGATCAGCCGCGCGGCCGATTCCCATCCCCAGACCTCCCCCGTTCGTGGAAGAAAAACGAGCGTTCGTTTAACGATCCCCGCGGCGATCGAAATTAAATTTTCGCGATCCTCCCGGCAGCCCTGATCTCTTCCACTCGTTACACCGGCGAGGTCAGCTCGGCCTGAAAGAACCTGTATATACCGCGAGAGAAAGAACGAGAGAGAGAGAGAGAGAGAGAGAGAGAGAGAGAGAGAGAGAGAGAGAGAAAGAGAGGACGCGACGCGGCCCGACTCGACTCGGCTCGGCGCAACATCGGAGTCGCCTCTGGTTCCCTCTCCGTCTGTGCCCCGTTCGGCAGCCCCGCGAGACCGACGGACGAGCCGCGCCGCGATGCCCCGATGGTAGCGTGCCAGTACGGTGCACCGTGGTCCACGGACGGATGGACGGACGGACGGACAGCCGGTAGTAGTGGGATACTGCTGCGCCGGTGGTGCGCTGCCTCCCGTCTCTCTTCTTCTCTCGCCAGCGGACCCCGTGGGCCCCCGTATCGGCTCTTCCGTCTCTTTCTCCCGGTGGCCTCTCATCCTTCATCTTTTTCCCGTCTGCCTACCGCAGCCCGAGTATCCCTCTCCGTCTCTTCTCTCCGCTCGCATCTCTGGACTCTCTTCGTCGAGACTGGCTTTGCTCTCGAGGGCCCCGAGAGAAGTTAGCCGGCGGGCATCATGGTGGCTACACCGCTGGCTTCTCGCGTCTCTCGAAGGCTCGCAACGGAGAGTGTGCCCCCCGAGGGTCAAGGAACTCCCTCGGGAACAGGTTCACCTCCTCCTCCTCCTCCTTCTCCTCCTTCTCCTCCTCCTCCTCTACCACCTTCTTTCCCTCCCGTCGTTCCTTCTTCGTGCCACGGCTCTCCCTCTTGCCCCCTTTCCACCTTCGACCGCCCTATGCCCCCTCCGGATCGTACCTTAGGGTTTTACTTATTTTCTCTTATTACCGCTGGTAGGCATGTGGGCACGCTTAACGCGCTCGCACACCTTCCCGCCAGTTCACGTATTCCCCTTGCTACGCGCACGCGAACGCGCGTGTGTGTATATCCGCGTGTATACGTACACGCGTACGCACGCGAACGTATATGCGCGTATGTACACGCGATGCGCGCGTTGGTCCAGTCGGGGCCCGTCAGTCTCTTCTTCCCCACCCCACGATTCGAGACTCGTCTTCTCGCTCTCTCCTCTCCCCAGGCTCCTTAGGTACTCCAATATGTGAGCACATTATTACAGTCGCAACAGAGGCAAGAGCGAGCCAGCGCAAGGGTTAGAGGACTGGGGGGTCTCGGAAGGGGCTAAATTCGAGGCGAAACGCACACGCGCTTCTGGGTGGATGGAGAAAACGCGCGAGCGTGCACGCAAGGGTGTTAGCCACCACTACTACATCTGTGCCCTTTCTCTCTCTCTCTCTCTTTCTCTGCTTCGTCTTCTTCTCCCGTTTCTTGCCCCGCTTCTTCTTCTCTCTTTCTCGTCCTTCTGCCCGTTCTTCGCTGTCCCAGGCTGCCTCTCGTCAGATACCAGATTCCACCTGTGCTGCCTGATATCTTGCCCGTTGCTGCCGTGCTCATCCGCCTTGTCTTCGTTGTCTCCCCTCGTGTCGTGAGATCCTTTCGAATTCGTCCACCCGGGGTGTTCCCGCTCTTTTTTTCCACCACTCGGCCTACGCCATGTCCGAACGGGTGAAATCCGTTTATAACGAGGACCCTTCGACCCTCGTTTCCGTCCAATTTCGAGCTCCTCCAGGGGATCTACGGCTAGTCGGTCCTTCGTGCTTGCGGATAGTCGAT